ACCTGGTGTTCGGAGTTCCCTTCATCCACTCCAGTCGTCTCAATCTATCAGACATTTCAGATATAGGCTGAACCTTGCATATTAACACGTCAACTGGAAGGAACTGAAAGCAGTTCAGCTCACAATGAGACCTTTCTGTTGAAAATCAAGGTCAGAGTGGTTCAATACTACAACCATTACTTACCGGTACCTAAAAGAGAAGGGGTGCACGAGGTCACCCTTACTCTGCAAACTTGCAGTAGGAATTCTTTCTGTGTGCACTCAAAGCAACATTTTACACTTGAGTGCTGTGAAGGGTACACTATTTGATCCAAATTTGATAACACAGAATATCAGATCACCACAGGGCTGTACAATCACTGAACAGTACAATCGATCTATTTGCTATGCACACTACTGAACAGAAGATCTCAAGAACCAATCATCAGATTTCAATGTAACTCAGTACATAGATGCTCCAGGACAATGCACAGACCTGATTAGATTTTGGCTGGAATCTGTTCATATTAATTACCTAATTTGCATAATAATTACCCAAGCGTTTTCACCAATATCACTGGTCAGATTTAAATAAAACTTGGTATATGTTGTTTATTTACTTATTTATTCGTTCGTTACTGCACGTTTTCGTTACTGGTTTTCTTTTACACTGAGCCGCTATGTATAGTATCTATGTATTTAGCTTTTAGTGATTGAGACTTTGTGTTGTCATACTTTCATTTCAATCGGTACATAGTTCAAAAAGTGGCACAGCTATTATGTTAGCATTTGTATTTGGATCGAGCAGTCCTATGACTGGCATACATTGATTATAGAACGTGTTGGGATTGTGTACGCTGGAAATCTCTGTAAGTACGGTAGATGTTTATTCAAGACTGACGACCTTGTACAAAGGATGGCATACAGAATGTTTTGTACGCAGACTAAGATACAGTTCAGCGTGATACCAGTCACCACAGAAGCCCAACAACTAATGGCGAATCCCCTCGCACTAGGGGATTCTGAAAAAATGCATGCGTACTGTTATGTACGTCGTTTTAACCTAAAAGTTAACAGGCTTATACCAGGAGTGAGGGTATCTTCCAAGTTTACAAAGTAGGGATTCATGAATTGTTCAGCTAGACTTTTTAGCTTCTGTGTGTGAAGGTTAGGTAATGAGTTTGGTGTCTTCTGAGTGGATTTTGATCAAATTTGGTACATAGATACTTTGGGATAATGCAGAGACATTATTCGTTTTCGGGACATGTCCGTGCATATTAAATAGCTAATTTGCATATAACATTTCATTTCAGCTTGTGCATGCAAAATCTTGAAAACTCCCTATTCTGATCAACTTTAGTTCATAAGTACTCAGCGCTAATATGCAGACATTATTATTATTGGAGTTCTAAACTCTGAGACTATTGCTCCATCACTGTCTGTTGGGAGTTTTCATTTCCTAGTTATGTTTTATAAATGATTGCATATATTCTGTATTCACACGAGAGCTTTGCAGAGTTTAACTTTGATGGTTGATAGTGTAAATATTTTTAGTGACTCCCTCTTCATATTTAACTTAAATATGAATGTGGAATTAAATTTGATTTGTATCATTGTAAACGTTTTGGATCTGGTTATATTTATCGTTTGATTAGACCGCCACTTACAGATATGATAAAGTTGTTGGCTAAATATATAAGGAAAAACAGCAAGCTTTGTACCCCAGTTTTCTCAATTAAAAGTCTCCAAAAGTAACACACGAATACACACACATACACTTGCACCTTGCTTGGGAATTTGTCTCAACATCAAATAAGTGACAACAACCAAAGGTTTCTGGTAAAAAAAATGTTTTTAGTATTGAAAATATTTCAATTTTTCCATAACAAATCATTGTTGTTACAGGAATTAATATGTCATTTATAAAATGTTTCAAAGTTGAAGATCCCAAAATATTGTATTTTCCATTGCAAGACTACAAACTATCCAATGCAAAATTCACACTGCCAGAATTTGATTTTATATACACTGGTAATTTTTATGTGAAATTCATGCATGAGATGCAGTAGCTTCTCCCCTTGCAGGTGAATATCTTTTCATTTTATCCTTAGAATAGAATAAATACAGTATTTAATTGCGATATCACCTTTGCTGGAAAAAAAACTTTCATTTTCAGCAAATTTGTTACAAAAATACATTTACAGAGTTTAGTTATTTAAAAAAGTGAAAACTTGTTTAGTGACAATCAAAACGTGAATAATTCTACACTTTTAAAACAATGGCAGTTTTTTTTAATATTATAAGAAAATTTAAAACAGATACCATTTGTAGCAAGGTTGAATAAGTGGTGAAAACAAAATTGTGCTCACCCCTATTTATTTCGTCTGTTTTAAGGGGAAATTTTGTTCACCAACTACAAGAAGGATGGCTGACCATTTTCCTACTCCAGTTTGTAACAGACAAAGCTGTGCAATGCTTGAAGCAGAAAATTAATTGACTTTTAAAAATAGAATAAACCTGAATACATTGGTAACTGCATGGTATATTTAAAAAAGATTGTTATAAAATAAAAATGGTATTTCACATTAAAATAATGATGAAGAAAGGACCTGATACTTCTCAGCCTTATCAAATGTACCAGTTTAACCGAATACTATAAGGTAAATAAAAATTGACTTTTTCCCATCCATCCCCTTCCCAAAGTTGTTTGATATGCAGCTCACTTATTTACAATGTCAAAACATAATTTCTAGATAAACCCTGCACTCTAAATTTTGTTTCAATGTTGAAATTTAAGACATGAAAACTAAAACTGAAAGTATCAGTAAACTATGTAGAAATCTAGTGTGGCACCAACAATGTGTTAGATATGCTTAACTTTTTTACACTCTTGTGTAAACTGAGATTATTTAATTAGATACGTGTATTAAACTGTATTTATCCGATATATGTTACTGATATTTTCAGCCACTATTCTGTCTGGAACCAACAGTAAACTATCAAATGTTATAATAATGGGATAAGCAATGTAAATATCAAAGAATAGTGGCACAGTAAAAAAAAATACTTCATGTGGACAGAATATTCTTAGTTTAACCTTATCATTTCCAGCAAAGTTCTAAATAAGTTTCACTACCAGAGTTTTTAAAAACTAATGTCATGGTAACAGGAACCTTCAATAATATGCAGTAGTGGTAGGTAGAATACTTGCAATGGGTATAAACCCCCACCCATCATCTGAGGACTGCTTCTTAAATGCCTGACACTATCAATCTCCTAAATCACTTAATCATTTATGTGCTGATGTAATTGCAAAATGTGTATGACTTATTGCAAGCAAAACTAAATATTAAGGTATTTGTGACAAATACATCAATACTAAAGTAGTGAAAATAAAATTGCTACGCTGATATTAAATTGTATCAAGTAGATGCAAGTGTAAAATTGGGCTGATTGCACAAGTCAAAGAATATATCTTCTTCATATGTTTTTGTATGGAGGAATTTGATTTATGTTACCAGCTATTTCCAAATCACTTGTCACCACTACACTTTTGCAATTTCCTCTTTGCTTACGAAGTTGTACACATGCAAATTGTGCAATATTGTATAACGTTCTTGACAAAACTTCCACTTTCAGAAAGCTCTCTGATCTCGAAAGTGTTAAACTAGTAATTATTATATTTGGTTTGATGTCCCTGTATCTGAATAAGTTTGTTTGCTTCTTGGCAGTATTTAAACAAATGCTCTATACAAAATTCATCAATTAAACAAGTAAAAACTACAAAAAAAATTCAGGTAAAAAAAAAGAGAGAAAGGTCTCTGTATATAAACAATAAACACACTTATTTACATTTCTATTTACTGGTATAAATACAATTTTTTTGAAATACTGTAAGGGATATTTATAGGAATGTAAATTATTAACTGAAATTGTACTGTCTTGAGATTTAGAATTTTAAAAATGAAAACAACTGTTTAAAAATATAAGCTATAAATAAGAAATAGCATAACAAATACAAATAGTACTAAATAGTTTTATGAAGCACTTACACAACATCTTGATAGATAATAAATTATATCACTGTTGGTCACATGACCTATTGTTTTACCACTACTTTTATTTCTGTAAGTTAAACATATTTATGCTAATAAACTGGATAGTGTGGGTTCACAGATATAAAAACAGCAGTGACTAAAATATTTCTCCATAAACTCAAGACAGTACAAATTGTTGACAGTACTAGACGAAGGATGAGAAGCCAGCTAAAGGTGCTCTTGAACCAGGCTGTAAATTAAGCATACCATTTGTAATAACAACACCATTTGAATATACTGTATCTGGTTCACTATCTGTGTAGCTGTATGCTTTACTGGGACGTTGACGTTTCCATGACTGCCTCATTGGATCATTAACATAATGATTCATAAAAGAATGTGGATCTTTAACATCGCTGTCTACTTCACTATCACTAGCCTATGACGGTAAAGAGAAAATAAACAAAGATAAGTGCTTGTAATGGTCACATGTACCACACAGCAAAACTCAAGCTAATTAATCACATATTAAGTTATTTGTTCACAAAATAAAAATACAATTCAAATAAAATAATGTTGCATGAATGACCATAACAGTTAAATATAAAAAACAATTTGTTTTAATTTTGCTTTATGAAAATAGAAATTACAGCCTTTCAAACCCATTCACATTTCCACAATTAAATGTTTTTTCTCATCTAGAAAACCATTCCTTGTCTGACAATGTGCACTGGACTGAATGCTGTTTTTAATTGATATAAATAAATTACTGACATTTCACTAAGGGTGCACATATTAAAATTATCAAAAGCACAATTTTTGTCATACTAGAAGCAAGCACAAGCCAAATGTAGCTCTTCAGAGTTATAGGATGAACTGCTGAAAGACTTGATCAAAATGCTGTTCAAATAAAAGTGAATTTTAATGAGTTGATTAGTATGTTTTTTACTTGAATGATCATGACTTACAGA